AACTACAACTGTGAAGAATAGTTTTGAGGAATCAGCAAAAATAATTATAGTTGCTAGGCAGCGGTGAATGAAACAATTTCATTGCAATGCTATGGATACTGATTGTGTATTTAATATGCATTTATGTTTTAAGAAAGTAAGCGGGCAGCTGATTTTGCGGCCCTAGGGATGTAAAAACCTGCTCGGTCCCCAAATGATGATGACAGCTGGCATGACAAGCAAAACGTAACTTTCAGCCACTAATTAACGTATGTAAAACAACTAAAAACATCATAGTGTGATGAAAACTTATTTTCATCACTCTGTATTCGAAAATAGCCCATTTCCAAACAGCTGAGATCTTCGAAAATCTTAAATTTCCATACACCAAAAACAAATCGTGATCAGCTGACTTTTCCTGACATAAAAATTACTTTCGCTTCACAAACAATACTTTGCCTGACATCAAAAAGTTACTATCAGCCGAGTTTTACTCTAAAATTAATTGTACAGCCGTATTTTGTTTAGATTTGAAAAATGAACAGATTACGAAATATAAGATAATTTTTAAGTTTGACGAAGTAGTTTTTTTATCGTGATAACAGTGTTTGAAAAAACTAATTATTTATATGCCTTATATTAACTGTAGGAAAATGTAATGGGTAACGCGAGTGCAAACTGCCTTTGGTGCACTTGAGAAACTTTCCACACCCGCCAACGGCTCGTGCGTAGACATTTTTCTCTCATGTGCAGCAAAGTGCCACTTCGCCCACTAGTTACACAACTAGCAATATTCTTTATGTTAAATCCATCACATTTACAAAAGTAAAGGTTGGCTCAGCAATAACACACTTTTTCTCGTTTCATTAAAATTACTCTTCTTAATTAAAAATCCACCACAGCTGGTCCAGAGGATATACTTCAGTATCGAAAAGTATTTGTTTCCTATGAGATAACACCACGACTAAGTAATTCCAAGTCGCTGTAGGTTCGTTTACAAAGGATGGTAAATAATGGGATTTTCTCCGTATTTAAGTAGTTAATTTACCAAATTGTATTAGTTATTACCAGAGCAAGTATATTCTCTCTTTTCTTATGGAACACGATAGAATATTTAGGTAATCGTTTGAATATGCAACTAACTTATAAAAACATAATCATACAAGTATAAGTATACACAACGGTAGATATTTCAAAACATAGTATTTTTATTGAATAGGCCTACATATTTTGAAGAAATTCAACATGTTAAAAAAAGAAGAGTAAAGCGAATTCCAAAGAAATTTAAATTGGGAACCAATTCAACTATTTTTATCGAAAAGCCTCTGTGTTTAGTTAACTACAGGCCAATCAATAATATAATTTACTCCTATAAATATTTACTTTTTAATTTTTTCCACACTCAAACGATGTTTAAAAATAACGTTTTTTTACTTTAGGCCTACCTTGACAGGTATAAATTATTTTTACATTTTTGTGCAATATTTAACATTTACAGCAACAACTCAAACCTTTCTTTCAATTTACCCAATTCAACGTGTTGATTATCCATTTTTCAATAATGTCTTATTAGTTCTCACTTAGCTAGTATAATCTTTCAGCCAGTGACATAGCTTACAAAATATAACATTACGCTGTCATCTTATAATACAACTTTAATTGTATTGCAATGTATCTTTACACTACATAAACGATGAAATATTGTATATGAGTTACAAGAAGAGACGCCTTCCATGACAAACGACATAAACTCACGCAATATGTTGATTGTGTGCGTGTGACACTACAAAACAGCTGATCGTTCGATCAGCTGTTCAGCTGATAGCTTACTGTTGCGTCTTCACGTTGTTGTTATCTAAATTACTCGTATTTAATTCATAAAAACCTTGAATCTTTCAGATGAATTATCAGAAATAGTTGGGTAGCTAAGTGGTTATACTAAGCACAATAAACATAAGGTCGCTTGTTAGATAAGGTCAGTAATTTTTCAGGGTTCGAAACTGGGCCTTGCTGTCGATAAATTGTTTTTAAAATAGAATCAGTTGGTCGTATTTTAACGACAAAACTACACACTTTCCATAACCCTACATTCATTTTCAGCTTTAAATGCGTACATGGTTGCTGTCTTAATAAAAGGATTAAGCACAACTCACATTGACGACTGAAATTGAGGGTTAAGTACGACCCAGTAAGAAGCTTGGGGAAGTTTAAAATCATAGTTGTTGGCATTGAGTTTGAACTTAGAAACTAAAATGAGTTAAAATTAAACAAATGCCAATAAACGGTTATTGCATTGTTAGTATTGCAAAGATTCCTTTTTTGCACGAATAATGAGGGTAATTGATATTTTATGGATACAGCAAAATTAATTTAGGGATTATCACTCAAATAAAGAAACAAAAAAATTGATTACAACATACTAGCAGAAAGGAGAAAATTTATTCATGAAGATTATTAAAATAAAAATCTTTGCTGCAGAGTGTAGACAATTGATAAAAATATGCTCAGACTAAAGATCAAGGTGTTTTCTTTATTGGTTATTCTTTAAAGTTAAAAACAATATGAACAAACACACTTAGTTGATTACTTTCTTGTACTTAATTTCATGCTGTCACAAAATTATTAAGTGTGTAAAAAATATTTTCCGCACACTTTTGAACGTATTAATTGCACCCTTACAATTTGTATATGCAAATCAATTCAACCCCTAACGAATCTTTCCCCTAGACCCGTTTCATCCCTTCACATGAATGGCACTTGGGGCGGGTGTGGCGAGGGGGGAGGGTACAAAAAGCGCAAGTCCGAATTGAGGGAGAGGTCCAGTTGAGTGTTTTCATCGACCTGACGACATGTACCCCATGTTCTGGTCGAACTGTGTGATATGTACTCATAGGATATTTAACGTGTGTGCAGTAGTAGGGACTCTGTAGACTAGACCTAAGGTTAGTCTGTGTTGAGCCTGGGACCAAGTGTTGGATCATTGATTTTCTCATGTGGCGTGCCTCCATTCACTCCTGGTAGGTCAAATTGATTTTTAAGGTCATTTGGATATTCCAAATGTTTACAGGATTCAACACTTTAAATAATCGATATGAAAGTATATAAGGTCAATTAGTATGATTATGATTGATTGGTGTCAAGATAAATCACACTTTGAATTTTTATTCTGAATTTCTCAGAACGTGTCCGTAGAATTGAAGGGAACATAACAAGTTTTTTTTCCAAAATTTCGATGAATATTTTTTAAATATTTTAATGGTTTGATTAGTTATAAAGTATTGTATATTTCTGCTGTCTTAATTGGATAACCTTACTGTATTAATTAAAATGTATTAATATTTAAAAATTAATTAATGTTCTCACTGTTAATTGGATATTATACCCATACTGTCCTAACTGTATAATTATTTGCTGTCTTAATTTGATACTCTTAGTCTTACTGTCTTTACTGTCTTAATTGGATACTCTTACTATTATTGTCTTTACTGTCTTAATGGGATACTCTTAGTCTAACTGTTTTTACTGTCTTAATTGGATGATCTAGTCTTACTGTCTTTATTGCATACTCTTAGTCTTACTGTCTTTACAGTCTTAATTGGATACTCTGAGTGTTTCTGTCTTAATTGGACTCTTGAGTACTGTCTTTACTGTCCTAATTGGATACTCTTATAGTCTTACTGTATTTACTGTCTTAATGGGATACTCTTAGTCTTACTGTCATTGCTGTCTTAATTGGATACTCTTAGTGTTACTGTCTTTACTGTCTTAATTGGATACTCTTATAGTCTCACTGTCTTTACTGTCTTAATGGGATACTCTTAGTCTTACTGTCATTGCTGTCTTAATTTGATACTCTTAGTGTTACTGGATTTACTGTCATAATGGGATACTCTTAGTCTTACTGTCATTGCTGTCTTAATTGGATACTCTTAGTGTTACTGTCTTAACTGTCTTAATGGGATACTCTTAGTCTTAATTTGATACTCTTAGTCATTACTGTCTTAATTGGATACTCTGAGTCTTACTGATGTCTTTACTGTCTCAATGGGATACTCTTAGTCTAACTGTTTTTACTGTCCTAATGGGATACTCTTAGTCTTACTCTGTCTTTACTGAATGGGATACTCCTAGTCTTTACTGTCTTACTTGGAGACTAATAGTCTTACTGTCATGTCTCAATTCGATACTCTTAGTCTTACTGTCTTAAATGTTTTAATTCGGTACTCTTATAGCCTTACTGTCTTAATGTGATAATACTCTTAGTCTTACTATCTTTACTGTCTTAATTGTGATACTTCACTTCTACTGTCTTTCTTTAAAAGCAATGTTACTACTGAATGTGAATTTTAAAATGGCTAGAAGAGGATGTTAGTGAAAGCATTATTTTAAAATATGTTAAGTTTCTACTTTCAGAGAACTAATGATTCCAAAATAACAGTAAAAACTTGTGGCCTGTTAGAAAATATTAAAAACCACTTCAAGTTTTCTATATCAAGAGACAACGATCTAATTTCTACTTTCTATGTAGATCTCTTGGATCTTCAGTAATCCCTTTACTTATGCAAATCTAGAATTAAGTATTTCAACATATAGATGTCTTCAGGAACATTATTTATTGTAACCCCAAATTACATACCTCAGCCAATATAAAACTCGTATAAATTTTAGAAAAATGTTGCAGATAAAAACATTTTTTAATTAAAACAAATTAATTTACATTTTGTACCGCTAAGGTATGCAATTGTAATGGTTTGGAGAAGAGATTCTAATCTATGATATATGACTTGTAATACAAAATATTTAGTAATAGTTTACTCAATACAAATATAAAATAATGGTATAATAAGAAGTATATTATTAGAGTGTTTTGTTTACTTTTACTGTAAATACAGTGTGGTAACGTCCAAAAGATACATGGCTTTCAATAAGCATAGCTCTTTTATTAAATTAATGTTTCAGCTTTACGATTATCAAGGGTTATATTTTTATGTTGCAGATAGCAGAAGTGGAGGATATAGGAGACAGCCATGACTCATGACCAAAAGTAAGTTAACCTAGTAAATTGTTTTACTTTTTACTACCTCCTAAAAAGAGTCAATACAGCCTACAGTATATATGTGGTTTCCATTACTATCAAATTTACAAATTCACTAAATTTACCAATTTTAATTGTAGTTATAGGTGCTATTTAACAAATTTTTACTTTCCCCCCCCTATACACATCCACATACATATCGTAGTTTTTTGTGTATGGAGAAAGAATTGTTTTTGTCAAAATTTTAAGTTTGAGTGGATATATCCGGAAAGTAAATAAAAGAAACGTCTTATAACACTTAAAACATATATTTACGCTTATACTGTTACTCACAAGACAGTAAATATACAAAATAGATGGTAAGTGGTGATTGAATTCGATTGGACACTCCAATCATCATCAGATCCGATAAGCAAATGACGTCATTGAAAGTTAACAGACCACACCTGTAGCCCAATTTTGATTAAATTTGGTACGTAGGTACTAATCCATGGTATCTCCAGGAGCTTTTTCATTTAAAAAATGTTTTGATTTTTTTATGGTGATTTTCCCATTAAAACCCATAAAACGGAAAATCTCAATTTCTCAAAATATGGCCAAAACCAATTTGATATAAATTTAGCATTTTATAGTAATTTAAATTCTTAGAAAAATGGTTCAACTCCCATCGCTGTAAAAACCACGGTTCAAAAGTTATTGTAACTTATGATTTTTTCTCATCAAATAAAAGAAAATCTGATTTTCAAAATAAGCTATTTTTGATTAAAAACTAATATGTAATGGTCCTTAAACAAAATAGTGAAACTAATTGCTGTAAAAATTAGGGTTGAAAGTTATTGCAATTTCCCCTATAAAGGGACATAGTTACTCCCAATGCTCAACAATGATAAAGGTAGTTGACAAGCTAATAGGAGAATATATGTGTCAGATTGCTGATACCATTTATTTTTTTATGGAATAAACCATGATAGAATCAATAATTTTTCAATAGTTTATTTTACCTGCTATGAGTGGAAGTAGGAAATAACTGTGGTTTGAATCTTTTGGGGTCCATTTTCAAGTATCAATGTCAAACAAGAACAATGTCTCAACCTTTGAAGTAGGATGGGTTCATTAACATCGTTTAACAAATTAAGGTGGACAAGAACAGGCAATAGAATGAATTAAACAAGTAGGCAATGACTCAGTGAGCCAGTACAATTTTGGCTCACTAGCACTCTTGGAAAATAGTACATAATATTCTTCAACAAATACAAATTGTTAATAACAAAATGTAAACAAAGAAAAATCAAGGAAACAATAATAAAACAATCAGCTGTTAAATTACTAACACATGTTTCATTTGATCAGATGATGCATACCATGAATGAAGCCCATTCAAATAATAATTTTAAAAATCTGTCCAGTAGAACTGTGTGGATTTAATTGTTGAAAGATTGAAAATATTTATAATTCAGTATTTTCTCACCACTATAAATTTGGAGGCTGCTAAACCTTTTTGCTAAATTATGGTGAGGAAATATACCAAAGTGGAAAGGTGATAACTGAAAGAGAATAACATTTCCTATAAATTACCATTCTTTTCTTGAAAATACTCAATAAAGGTAGCCAAAAGTTGTCTCCAAATAAAACATGTGAGACCCCTATTTTCCAATGAATTTCTTGCGGAAATCATGTTTTTTTCACCATAAATCCTAACAAAAAAAACTTACATAACCATTTACTAATCTACAGGAAGTGGGCTTTACAACGCATTAATTAATAAAATTAGTCCAGTAGAACTGTAGATTTAGTTGTACAAAGATTTTTTTAAACTGAATATTAAGAGTAGATGTGCATATGCGTGAATGAATCATGATTAATCATCCAAACTATTAAAATTTTGTGAATTTGTTTAGTAATTGTAAACATTAAACATGTGTAGCCAATCCAATACAATATTGATTTATAATTGGTGGGTTCAACCATCCATCATATCAATACAGATAATCTGTACTATTGGAGGCATGAAAATATAAACATAAAGTGTGTGTTCTGTCTAACAGTGTAGGTTCAAGTTTTGAATAAGTAGTGAGTGAGTGAGTTTTTGCTAGGCACTAAATTAAATTCAATAATTTCAAAACTGTAAAATTTGAAACTTGTATCAATGCTACTATACCCAGAATATATTTTAAGGTATGATATTTTAGAAAATTATGTTCACCATTAATGCAATATTTATTTTATGGAAGTAAATTTGTATTGTGTGAAAAATGCATGTGTATATTCGATTTTTATCTTATTCTAATGAGTATAACTTATGAACTGAAATTACTCTTATATGCAGCAAAGGTGTTTATATGACTAAAAATATCTTCCCCTTCTACAGTTTTTAATTGGCTGATTATGGTGCTCTGAATATTTTACAAAATCAACTCCATAGACAGTAAAACAGCTGATGCCACTTAATATATTTCAGTATTGACTTTGAATGATTATTGTAGGATTCTTTTCACCCCATGTAAAATCTTTAGTTTGTTTTAGTGTGTAAACCCCAAAATGTTCCTCTTTTAATTCAGTTTCAATGTTACATCCTTTGTGTTTTGCTCTGTGTTTAGTTTATTACATAGAAGATAAGTTGTTCTTTACAAGTACATTGTAAAAGTCCTATTCAGTTGTTAAATTTAGGAAAGTAACCTATCAAAAAGGAGAAAACATTACACTTAAGTTATTGGAAATAAACACACTTTAAAGTCTTCTCCAGCAATTCCATGAGGATAATTGAACGGATCTTCATAAAGCCTAAGTATGATTTCATTTTTAATACTACATCCAATTCTTGGCACTATGGCTGTCTAGCAAACATTCTTTTGAATGTACTTCATGGTTTAGGTTGTCTCATTTGACACCTAGAAACATGGGTCCACCCAATTCCCCCCATTCACCCATTCTTTTGATTCATTTATTGACACTAATCAATGCTAACTCTATAACTAGAACAGATGGTTAGAACTATACACCACATTACCATAAACCTTTAGCAATATGGGAGTGTCCTTGAATGCCATGATGTTCAGGGGCCTCATATTGCTAAGGGTATAACAATTTTAGTGAGTGACACAATAAAAATAAACATTTTGAGCTGAGCCTCCAACGGATGGCATTGATGTCATTATTGCTGATTTCTGTTGTACGCCAACTTGTTAAGCAAAGTATGCCTACTCTGGAAATTTCAAAGTCAATGGCAAAATGCATGTTAAAATATTTACAGTAGATTATTGACCTTCTAATTTTTAACAATTCAATTAAATGAGGAGCTATCACACAATTCCTAAATTCTAAACCAATGTTTACACTCCTTTTTAACTTTAAGTACATGTACCGTAATTTATTTATCACAGTTAAGTGCATAAATTTTATCAACCATTAAAATAAACATGTTATTTATTTCAGGACCAATGGGGGCAAGGGTCAGAATGACAAGGCTCAGTTTTCAATGCAGATGTCCAACTATGCGGAGGACTCGGGGACGCCATACGATCCCCACGAGCACAGGAACCAAGAAAACCCGACAACGTAAGTAGGATTACCAAAATTTATACTGTCTTAGCCACATTATTACTTCCCTACCCTGTGTGGTCCAAGATTTAAAATATTATTACCAATTGAGATGGGGACCAGACCCGCGGTTTGAATGTGATGCGCTATTGGCCCGAGAGTTTTCTTGAACAGGTAACATTTTCTAGAGGGGATTTTGAAGGACAACGAATGATGGAGACACGCTATGGACCGAAGATATATTTGAGCCCCCCCTCTGCCCCTTCCTTGCAGGGGAATTATTCTCCACCTTGCGCCCCCAAGAAACCTAGCCTCTGCTTGTGCCCCTGGGCCAGGGCCCAAAAGGCCCATTTCCTGAAGCAGCCCTGAATTAAGAGCTGGTGTTATAACTCATAGAAGATATGTAGCTTACTACCTCAATTTATAGAAAGCAGCCAAGCACTGATCATAGCTCAGTCTCTAAAATTGAAGCTGAATTTAAAGTTACTTTCTTTTCTTGATTATAAGGCTTTTAATTGGTTCTGGATGGAGAACCAGTGGATCTTCAGTAACAAAGCTGTTATCTCAATCAACACTCATCCTTCAATCATCTTAAAATACTTCATCCCAAATTTACTTTCTATTTCTAAAATACACACCCTGATGTGTCAACATTATATAATCTAATCTATTAATTTATTTCCATGCAGAGATCGTGAGACCCTGATCCACTTGCTCAAGGGATGTCTGGGTACAGGTATCCTCGCCATGCCCAACGCCTTCGGAAATGCAGGATTGGCGCTCGGGACTGTAGCAACATTCATTATTGGCTTCCTCTGCACATACTGCCTTCATGTTCTTGTAAGTTCCCAAGTTTCTTGAGTGAACGATTTAGTTGTTTAAGAAGCTTATTACATAATAACCCCTAACCAGGGGATGTGTGTGTTAGGGGGGGGTGTAATTCTCCCTAAGTCATCACAGAGTAAGGTATGGAGGAAACTTGCTGATCGGGTCCGAGTTCTTTCAGCTCTAGTATGTTGTGAGTACACGATAGGGAAAATATACTCATGACAAGCAAAGAAGAGCCCAAGCGGTGAGCACTGTGCAGACTTTTGTATCGCACAAGGCTCAGGGTCTTCCTCCACCATGAGTCTTGCAGTGTGATAGCGAGGGGGGGAAGGTGTGCGAGGGGGAGAAGCGACTAGTGCTAGACACCACTTAAATGCATCATTCAATATTCCCTCATTCCAATATTCAATATTCCATTCCCTCTGTCCCTTACTTCCTGCTTCTTAGTATAACTTTGTCCAACCTGTTTATGGAACTTGTGATGTCATTGTCAAACAAGATGTACAGAAAGTCAGTAAAAAATTAACAATAAACATTAGGTAATGGTAAAATTGTTGATGCTATGGGGTTTGATCAATATCTTACTCTGTCAGATACCAGTCAGATACCTGTAAGCATAAAGTTGACTAGATTATCCGAAATGTGTTCAATTCATTTAACTCAACACTTGACTTAGGTTAGATGTTTTGATCTTTACAATCACCACTTTCAGAAATGTTTTAAACTATAGTTACAATATTTACAAACTACCTTATCAATATAAAGCCTAATAAAGAGTTATTTCATGTTCTTCATTCCTAGGTTACCAATCAGTACCAGATGTGCAAGAGATTACGAGTTCCGATCCTCAGCTATCCGGAGTCAATGAAGGTCGCTTTACAGCACGGACCCTCTATGTTCAGACCCTTCGCTAATATCTCTGCGTAAGTTACGTCCCAACTAGCATGTTTAGTTATGTCATACATAACTAATGAGATCCTTGTGAAGTTATAGAAGAAAGAAAAAAGTTGGATTTAATTGTTTATGTTTACATTGTTTTAACCTGCTATTGCTACTGTATCATTAAATTGCCTTAAAGAAGTGGATAAGAGTTTGATGATAAAGTCCAAAGTGAACATTACAAATTTAGGTTGTGACATTTTGTGTTCCTGTTGTTTTGCCTTGTCACAAAAGAAATTTTAAGTGTGCACCAGAAAGAAAATGTCACTTTCGGTATATTAGTAATATACCATTGTCCATTAATAGAAACCCACCAAGATTTTTGTATATTATTAAGATGGCTAATGCCCATAATTAATTTTTGTTTGTGTTTGTGTTTAATTTGTTAATTTGTGTGATAATTAATTTGATCACTATGATGTAAAATTGTAAACATTCAGTTGAAGAATTATTTGATGTTGGTATTCATGTATCTGTTTATTTTCAGACCAATTGTTGACTTTTTCTTGATCCTGTACCAACTTGGAATCTGCTGTGTTTATATCATGTTTGTTGCTGAAAACATCAAAGAAGTAAGTTTGACAAAATATGAAATACATTAAATAGATTAGGAGTAACAAAACCCAAATGTTGGATGGAAATAACAGGGTTTGGTTGTTATGAATTGCTTAACTGACTTAAATAGTCAGTTAAAAAGTTCATTGATAGATAGGAAAACATTACAGGTACAGGAGGGGCCGCTTGTTTGGTCTTCACTATTGATAATTGGAGAGAGGAGGAGAAGAAATCGTACAGTAGTGTCCTTTAATGTTTGTACCACCATACATGAGTATGATTATGTGGTTTTAATGTTTCTTAGGAGTGAAAAACTACAATTCTAACCAGTCCACAAGTTTTACTGGTACCTTAGGTACAGAGGAAACACGCTTATGCACAACCGCACACTTTTCAGTTCTGGTATGTTGTGCCGAAAATATACTTGTGATGAGCGAGGAAGAGCCTGAAAGGCAAGCACTATGAACGGAAACTCCTATCCCACAGGGCACAAGGTCTTCCTCCACCGTGAGCGTTGTAGTACATGAGGGCGAGTGGAGGTGTTGGACTTTGTTCTAAACACCATCAGTGAATAGTGTTCACCAAGAGTACCGTTAAATGTTTCCTCTGTACCTTAATTCTCTGTGCTGGTACTAAAACGTAATATTCAGCGAAGCACATAATCATTGTTAGACATTCCTGACTCTTTTACCGAGTCCTAATTCTTCATCTTCTCCAGGTGGCAGACCAATACTGGACGCCGATTGGTGTCAGGACGCACATGCTGATCCTGTTGATTCCGCTCATCCTGATCTGTTACATCCGCAACCTCAAGCTGTTGGCTCCCTTCTCCCAGCTGGCCAATGTCATCACATTCATCGGCATTGGCATCATCCTCTACTACATATTCGACCAACTCCCTCCCGTCAGCAGCGCCAAGCTTGTCGGGTCCGGGCAGAGCTTTGTGTTGTACATCGGAACTACTTTGTTTGCTTTGGAGGCCGTGGGAGTTGTAAGTTTTGGATTTTTTTTTATAGGAATTATATCATTAATTTTGTAGAATCTAATCTGCAAAGAAAAAAAACTTCAAATAAAAAAAAAATCACACTTGTAATTTTCTTTAAGTACATGTTGTGTCTTAAATCAGGGTATGACTAAAGAAAGGTACCTGAAATTGTTTACACAGTTATTGTGTGAATATTCTATGAAGTACTGTAAGACAAAATTACTTACGTAAAAAACCGTCAGTTCAAACAACATGTTATTCGGAACATGTTTTGATGTTAATACATTATCATAATTGGAATTAAAAACTACAACTTATCAAGATTACTTACTTTTTCACAGGTAATAGCTTTGGAAAATAACATGAAAACTCCCAAATCATTCGGAGGCTACACCGGTATCCTGAACCAAGGTATGGCCGCTGTTACTATCATGTACGTTGGTGTTGGATTCTTCGGGTTCATCAAGTACGGCAGCGGAGCTCGGGGAAGCGTTACACTGAACCTGCCACAAGGCGAAATGTAAGTACAGTACAATTATTTATTTTCTATTTCCAATCTCAGTGGCTATACATTGTATATGGAGGAAGAACTGTTTTCCTTAAAATTTATGAGTTTCTGAGTGGCTATATCCGTTTTGGGTTACCCTGAACCCAAAAAAGAGGGTTTCGAAGTAAGGTTTGCGTGTGTGTGTGTGTGTCCGTTTACAGAGCTACATACTAGGTCTTACAGTTTCGTCAAAATCCCCATTAGCTTTATATTTACTAAACAATTGGTGTGAATTAAAATGATAATGGGATTCGTACGTTATTGTACCTAAAGTAATAATGTAATAACAACAATCTTTTTAATTTAAATGCTATTAGCGGAAATCTTAGGGCTTTTCACTATTCCCAGAGTGGCTTTTCCTTATGAATATTATACTTTGTTGTTAATCCCGTTTATGTTACAGCCTAGCCCAGGCAGTGAAGATTGCGTTCGCCATTGCCATCTTCATCTCCTACGCTCTGCAAGCCTACGTTCCCATCGAGATTCTGTGGAACACATACCTCAAGTCACACCTGGAGCACAGTAGCAAGAAACTGTTCATTGAATACGTCATGAGAACTGTCATTGTCATTTTGACTTGTAAGTTCAATTTTCGTATGGTGTAGATAATAGTTGATTGGAATTTAATGAATGATGGTTTAGGAAGTTAAAAAGCCATAGAGAAATCAAATAAATATAGACTGACAGCAGTGCTTTAATCTGCTTTGATGCGTTGATCTCTGGTTGTTTTTGTCACAAAACCAACCAACAATTCTGGTAAATACTGTACATTGAAATTGCTACAGCTGCTATTTTTGGAGGGCAAAGTCCAATTATCAAAAACCATGGTCGAGTCTTTGAATTACATTTCCTCCAATAATAAAAGGACCATTGAACCTGTAACTAACTCCTCTGGCCCACTTCTATATAATTTAATTTTTCACAATTTAGCCATAATTTCTTTATAACTGTTTGTTAAATCGTAAATTTCCCCCCTATTGGATATTAAACTAATAATTCTCCTCAATTTCAGTCCTGCTAGCCGCAGCCATTCCTCTTCTAGACCTGTTCATCTCTCTGTTCGGAGCCCTCTGTCTCTCCGCCCTCGGCATCGCCTTCCCCGCGATCATAGAGGCGTGTGTCGCACACTCCAACAACACCCTCAACTTCGGCCTTGCCCTCAAGGATATCTTTCTCGTCATCATCGGCATCCTCGGATTGGTCATCGGAACATACTGCAGCATGATCGAGATCGTCAAAGAACTCGGGAAAGAGTCGCCCGCACCCGTTGCGTTAAACGCAACAATGATCCCAACTTTGTAATTGGAGATCAGCAGTGTTTTAACTGTGATTAACTTTACAAAGATTTTCACGCTCAAATCATCGGGTTGGTGAAGATGGAAAAATGGAAAGGCGATAGTGAGAGACATTGAAATCCTGGTGGATTATTGTATACCAAAGCTAAGTAGCTTTAACGCTTACAATGAGGGACAAGATATTATACTGTAAGTACAAAAGGTTACCATTTATAACACCAGTCCAATTGTAAAATTTGATAAAATCACTTCGCCCTTAGAAGTTCCTGTTGAAACTTAAGTCAAAACTAAACCAATATCATTTGACTTTTTGATGTTAGTAGAAAGTTGTGACTAAAAGTTAGCCAAAACTGGAGATAGCAAAAGGAACGTCATAAAACCAAGTCCTTAAAATCATCTTGACTTTTGATGTAATAATATTCTTAATTAAGTTGTAGTTGGCTTAAACTATTTTATTGAACCAAGGCTAGTCGATTCTTACATTTAGTTTTCTCATCCAATATAAAATGCGGGCCCAGAAGTAAAATTTGGTGAGAGGCCACTATCCATGACTTTGTCTTATGGTATACTCATTTTCTGTTTTACAGGGGTGATTTTTTACTAGAAATTTGTATACTATTTAATTTTATATTTCATGCTTTAAAATTTGGTTAACATATTAAAGGTGGAATTGTTTTCTATCTTTGAAAGCAATTTGTTAAGTGATCTTGTCAAGTTAATAATCCTGATTCTAAAGATACAGAATAGATATTTTCTGTAAACTTTTTACGGATTAAAGCCAAAGAATACAGTTTTTCCTCACAATAGAAAGGTAAGAATTTCATTGTAATTAAGTGTTCAAAACCAACAAAATGTCTTGAAATTGTTGAGCAATTTGTAGAAGTCAATGTTGTTAGCGAACAGTGTGTTCACCATATGCGTTCAATCAGCGATATTGATCAGGTATGTCACACAGCACAGCAAAAATGCCTTTAGACTTTCGCTTATTTCTAAGTATGATCAAGTAGACAAAGATAGACTGTGATACAAAATTTGATTTGCTAAAAAAATACCATAGTAAGCTAAGATGTGAGTTTTGGGTTATTCAAAGTATTTTAAGAGAACAAATCTATTACCGGTAGTGCATAAGATTATACTTGCTAATTAGTAGCATTTTGAAAGGTTTAGGATTTTAAAAGTCACCTGTTTTGATGATTAACTGACCTTTTTTTCAAACATGAAAAATTTTAATTTTTAATATTGTACATTAAATATTTTAGTTTTATCAGGTTGCATAGTGTAGAAATAGAAGTATAGGTATTAATGTTTTACTATTGTTTATTGTAAGCTGTACAAATCAGGTATATATTTTGAAATATTACTAATAAATAATGTAGACTGTATAGTTTTAAAATTAATATTTTTACTATTGATAATCAGAAAAATGAATACTAAATTATAACAAAGTTGAACGATGGAAAATTTTACAAATGTTATCAAGTTACAAATTTTATTTTTGTGACTAATTTTGTAAAAGATCGACCCTATGTCATCGATGGGTTATGTCAAAAGACTGTGATTATATATATTTAATAGGGTTTAAAATCAACATAAAAAGCAATTAAACACTCATTTAAGTGGTCAGTGTTTTGCTAAGCCTGATCCAATCTTAAAATTAAGTGCCAAAGAATATTGCAAAAAAAATTATTTACCAAACATATTCAAAAAAAAAGTAATACAAAACTATACTTTATAGTTAATTTTTTTATAAATGCTGTAAAGTGCTCACAATTCAAAAATTCTTTTTTGGCCTTATCATACTGGAAGATTCTTATAAATCATTATTTCACTGTAAACTTTTTGTAAACCTTTCAATTGTTATTCATAAAAATAAAACTGTATTATTTATAGTACAGAAATGTTTAAACTTTTATTTACACAGTTTTTTATTGTTGCTGCTTTAATTTATTTTGTATAAAGTGTAGTTTTCTATGTTATTGTACTTATGAATTAAACATAAAATGCTACCTCTTTATTATTTTTCTTCCTTACATCCCATCAAAAATCTAAGCAAATATATTACTTATTTTTAAGTAAAAAAGTAGACTGTTTCTTAATTTAAATTACTAAATTTATTTGATTTTTTACTCTAAACAAAACGGTGCAAGGTAACAAGGAACAAATGGTAATTTATTATGCTGTAAAATTACAGTTTAAATGTTATTGCAAATTGTGTGGTTATCCCCATTAAAATTTCACCTACTCCCTCACACTTGATTAAGGGTTGGAGACAATATGGGAGAAAGAATGTGTCAGATTGCTGATACCTTTAACTGTATTTGATAAATAAAACTTTTTTAGTGAAGCACAAAAAATAAATTATGACATTATGTCATCATAAACAATGCTGGTCATATATTGGCCGATCATTGGATTATCATATCGATCATTGGATTATCATATCGGGGATTTGGATATTATAAATCTTTGAAGCAAAAACATAGCATGGGTTATCAAAGAGATATCATCCTACATGAACTACTCTATTGATCGTAGCATCATTCAATACTCCGTTATGTTTTTAGGAAGTGGATAAGATAAAAAAAATTGTTTCCTGAAATCCAGAGTGTTTGAGCAAACCTTAAAATGAAATGAAGTTTGTGTGGATACATACTTAAACTGTTGTGGTGGTCCTCAAAGTAGGTAATCGTGTGTGTGAGTACTGTATTTACATTTTAATTATAACACTTGTAAATCGTGTAAACAGACTTATTTAAATCTTAAATTGCTTACATTTAACATTGCCCTTCAGTAAAAACAAAAATTAGAAAATTTTATGAGAGACCAAAAATTAATTTAAATTTAAAAATAGTTTTTTTACTAATACGACCAGCATCTATATTATTTTATTTGGAATAGCTACCTAGCTCAGTAAACTTAAACATTTAACTTTTTATTTAAAAAAAAAAAAAAAAAATAGAAGGCTCTAAATTTCATATTTCATTAGTAATATATTTTTTATCATATTTCTGTATTCATTTTAAAACGTTTTAGTTTTTCTACACATTATTGTCACTTTATATATATCATTTTAGCATTTTGATGCCCATTATTTTTCTATACCATAATTAAATTTGTACAATCCAATGTTTTGTCTTGAAATGTAATATTTTAATTTATTTTCAATTAATCCTTTTGTTGATTTTTAGAGGATATTTTGTAAAATATTCAATTAACTTCCCAACTAATACAGTACTTCTTTTACCAAAATTATTAACTATATGAATCCATTGAAACAAGATTTGTTACATTCTTCAGCAATATAGTAACACATCATAAATAATTCTTATCAGTTATTTTGAGTGATAAGTGCTGCATTTCCTACATAATCTAAATGGCTTGAATTATTACTATAGAAATATTTTAATTCATATTTCAACACTTGTTTGTTTGGTTTCATTAACTGTTTATGTTATGGTCCTAACAAAACAAAGTGTCAAAACACAGATTAATTCTTATCACTGTAGATGAATCAAGATTCTTATCAATGTCAAATTAAGTCAGTGTTACAGCAAATGATGTAAACATAACCCTGTTAGTGATGAGTTGTGAGTAAAACATGTTTTGTGATTTTACCAGGTCATTAAAGGAAATTGAAGCAATAATATGACAGAGTAAGTACAAAAATAATAAATATATTTAAAAGTTATTCTTAAGTTGGTATGTAAGAAAGCAAACATTTATCATGTTAAACAGCAGCTCATTATGTCGGTAATTGAATTAAGTTCTATTTACCCTAAAAACAAAAACAAAAAAATAAACAACATCAGCAAAAACACATACTTTCTCCCATACTTATCAGTAACCCTTATGGGCAAACGTGGGAAAACAAAAGTTGTGAATAGCGTTTGAACCAATTTTTAAAGCATTGGAGATTGTAAAATTTTTTTTACAGTTAATAGGACCTTGATGTACTAAAATTTTATAAAAATGGTGTGTTTTCCTAAAAATCTGATTTTTATATTATTTTTCAGTTTTTGACTGGAAAATCTTCAGTTATAAATTCCTTGAAAATAAAAAAAACTCCTGAAGATACTATTAGTATTAGTGTATACCAAAAATGTAATCAAAATTGGACAGGTGTAGCTATAGTCTGTAGCTCTGTACAGTTATAAACATACAAACAGACATCACTTCGAAAACCACTTTTTTGGGTTCAGGGTGACTCAAAATTGACATTTCTACTCAAAATTTAAACTCAATTTTGAGGAAAACAATACTTTTGCCCCTTTTACATAAAATAATTAAAATGAATTTGAATGGAATGTTTCTAATGTTAGTATCCTATTCTCCCACAATGGTACCAGGGATAAAATATACTTCTTTACAGATTTATGCTCCCTTTAAATCAGCTGAAGGTAGTATTAAGGTAGGTTTCATTCTGATAAGTAGCTATGGTGTGTTTTTATTGTTGCAAGTTACTTGTTATTATACCAAATTAAAGCATATTACAATCAAAAGATTGGGTTAGGAAATTGTCTCTTATTCCTTGTTGAATAAACCTATAAACATTGTAAACTTAAACATTTAATTTGAGTGACACATTATTTAGTCAATATCAATCATGAACACTTTCAAGCAAAAAGTCCATACATTATGAATTGATGATTACTCTAAATTAATTATGACCCAATGAAAAAATAAATTAATAATATTTTATAGACTACTAAAGTAGGCCTACCAAAGGAACTATCACAAAAACCTTGGTAGACAAAAGTTTGATATTTAACCTACAGTGGTGCAGAATAAATATTCAAAACTATAAACAAAATAATATAAGTTAAGTAGGGTTTTAACATGGATTTTGTGTAAAAGATAGATTATTCCAAATTTACCAAACTTGAATTTTTGTACAAAAAAAAGGTTTATGATCTCTTGATGATTGTTAGGGATTTTTTGTGGGTAGGTTTAATACCAGGCTTACCTTTCTGGGTAAAACAGATGAAAAATTAACAAATAAATACAAAGAAATTTTGGAGCTATTAGCTCCTTCTTCAAAGGTAGTAGAGTCTTTGTTTTGTTGGATGTCCTGATTCTAGAACTATAGAAATAGAACTTCTGATCTAAGTGTAGAACATCCTACAAGAAAAATCTATATCTTTATGTGTTTATTTGTGAACTATCATGTTTTGACAAAAGGTAAGCTTGGTATTAAACCTTTTTAATGCAAACTCTTTTAAAACTCTGCCTTGGAGCCATCTTTACCAAAATATTTCTTTATGTTTATTGTTAGTAAAAGCATTGTTGTTGATTGTTTTGGCTAATAATTTATAACGGTATAGTTAGAGTAGTTGGCTACTATTTGGCAATTAAAAAAAAACAAGTAAAGTTTTAATCAGTAAGTTAGTTGGCTATTGTTTTATTTTCTTAAAACAAATATGTTTTTATTGTAGAGTAAATACACTAATCTTCTATAGGTATCAAAATTATGTTAAAAATGTATGTACCCTTCCATTAACTAGTACGTATTAAAAAAAAAAAATTCATTGTTGGTTTTCTTTCTACATTTGATATGTGCAATAAAAAAAGAAATCATAAGTTATCAGTTTTAGCTATGGTGTTACGCAGTTTAATTTTGGGTTTAGTTTTAAATAAAAAAAACACACAAATGATCCTCCAGGAAAGTTTACGAGTGTATAAACAACAACACAAACGATTTACTGTATTTGGATATTCCCTAGGATCAAAATGTTGTTGATATTTATTATTAAAGAGTCCAATTCCTATGCTGCGACTGATAGGACGGGGCCACACGAGGTGGATCATCCGCGCGGACGGTCCGCGCGGATGATCCACGTGGTCCGACAACACATTGAATCAAATGAGAGTGTCCACACGGGGCGATCCTAAGCCGCCTGGGCGGATTGTCCGCGCGATCATAAGCCGCGTTGGAGGGGATGACACACTGTGACACGTAGTCTTATGAGAGTGGCCACACGTTACGGATTGTCCGCGCGGTTGGAGCTCATTTTCAAGCATTTGTAGTTTTTTTTTTTTTAGTTTGTGCTTGTGCGTTTCGGTTTATAGGTGTAAAATGTTCGATACGGACAAATTAATAGAACTTGTTAAGGGCAAACTATGTCTGTGGGATTTCTTAAGTTGTATTTCATGTTGTACATTTCTCATGAGTGTATCTTCCTTAGCTATATGCGGTCGAAGCAATTGAAGTAGCTCGTCAAACGATACTACTGTATCTACATACGATAGTAAACAAAAAACTCCAAACTATGGTTTCGCATGTGCTCGTAAAAGATTTGGAACACAAATGGTTTATCGGTTATGAAAGGATGGACCCAATGATTTCGGTTAACCTTAGGCTCTAGCTCACCACACACTTCTAATGCACAAACTAACACAAGTTTTTCGTTCATGACTACAACGAGAACGAGTGAACCATGTTCTAATCTTACAGTACGTAGGCCGGGAAACCTCAACCGGAAGCGGTTCATCCGCTCCGTGTGGCCGGGACATCGTCGCGCGGCTTATGATCGCGCGATCATAAGCCACGCGGACGATCCGCCACGCGTGGCCCCGGCCATACGACTGTCACTGTAGTCTAGTCAGCTTTAGCCTAGAACACGCTGCTGAACTGAATCACGAACAACCCAAACTGTAAAAAAATGGAGTGATTTATCATCTATTTGTAGTTTTGATTTGTATGAAATCTCAACAGTAACCGTCGACTTCGACGGGTTTCGCCTAGTCTGTGTACAAAATTTTACAATATGTTTTGAGGTGTTAATTTCAATTTTTTAACGTGAGTTTTGACTATTTTTTTAACCGGTATTCAGCTTTACAACTTGAATTTAAACCATCTACGTTATAGCGTGAAAGAAAATACTCTAGTTATACAGTTTCAAATTGAATTAAATTTGTTTGGACTCGTCAAGTTAAACCTATTAGTATTATGTGCCCCTTTCTATTCTATGGAATCCAAAACAATGTACATGTTTAAAAAATATATATATATACA